CTCCTATTTGATTCTTCTACTTTAGAAAAAAACTCATTTTTGATCCATCTATTTTAAAATTTTTATAATTTAACATCAAAACTTAGAATAACGTAAAAAAGTAATCGAATTTTAAATTTTAAGGATAAAAAAGAAATTATTTTAAGTTGAGAAACTAAAAAAAATTTTCTCACCAAAGTAAAGGGACTAAATTAGAGTTTTAACCTATATAGCCCGAAAACTTTCCCTCTTAACCTTCATTTCTATCTCCACTTTTTCAAAAATTAAAAAACCCTAGAGCTCCTCAGTGCTCATCCGCGAACGCATAAACCCTACAGTGCGATCGGAGATTTTCCTTAAGGAATGGAGTGGAATCCAGAGACTCTGCAGTTCCTTTCCCAATGCTTCCTCCACACTCTTTCCCCTCTCCCTGAGCCCCGCCGCGCAGCTGAGAAATCCTTATCTGAAGCTGCGGACCGCCCTAACTATGGTCTCGCCGTGCTCCGCCTTGTGGCTGAGCCTACCGTGGATGATCAGATCCGTCATGCTGCCGCTGTCAACTTCAAGAATCACCTCCGATTCCGTTGGGTGCCGTCTAATGACCCCAACGCCGGTCCAACTCTCATCCCGATCCTGGACCCTGAGAAGGAGCAGATCAAAGCCTTAATTGTGTCGTTAATGCTATCTTCCTCTCCTCGCATCCAGAGCCAGCTTAGCGAGGCCCTTGCTGTCATCGGAAAGCACGACTTCCCCAAGGTGTGGCCTACTTTGCTTCCTGAGCTCGTCGCCAGCCTCCAGAAGGCTGCGCAAGTCTCGGATTACGCATCTATCAATGGTATTCTTGGTACCGCCAATTCTATTTTTAAAAAGTTTAGGTATCAGTATAAAACCAACGATCTTTTGCTTGATTTGAAGTATTGTTTGGACAATTTTTCGGCTCCATTATTAGAAGTTTTTCTTAAGACTGCTTCTGTGATTGATTCTGCCACTGCTTCGGGTGGTAGCTCGGCTGCTACCCTCCGACCTCTGTTTGAGTCACAGAGATTCTGTTGTAGGATATTCTTTTCCTTGAACTTTCAGGAATTACCGGAGTTTTTTGAGGATCACATGAGGGAGTGGATGGGTGAGTTTAAGAAGTATTTGACAATAAACTACCCCTTGCTTGAGAACAGCTCGGATGGGCTTGCGGTTGTTGATGAGCTTCGGGCGGCTGTTTGTGAGAATATTAGTCTATATATGGAGAAGAACGAGGAAGAATTTCAAGGTTATTTGAATGACTTTGCTTCTGCTGTCTGGACTCTGCTTACAAATGTTTCCCTGTCATCTAGCCGAGACAAACTAGCGGTTACGGCCATGAAGTTCTTGACAACAGTTAGCACAAGTGTGCACCATGCATTGTTTGGTAGTGATGGAGTAATACCACAGATTTGTCAGAGCATTGTTATTCCAAATGTTAGATTAAGGGAGGATGATGAGGAGCTTTTTGAGATGAATTTTGTCGAGTTCATTAGGAGGGATATGGAAGGGAGTGATCTTGACACAAGAAGGAGGATTGCTTGTGAATTGCTCAAAGGGATTGCAACTAATTATAAGAAACAAGTCACTGACATTGTTTCCATTCAGATACAAAATTTGTTAGCCTCCTATGCTACAAACCCTACTGTAAATTGGAAGGACAAGGATTGCGCAATATATTTGGTTGTGTCACTTGCAACAAAAAAGGCTGGTGGGACTTCTGTTTCAACTGATCTTGTTGATGTCAATAGTTTTTTTACGTCAGTTATTGTCCCTGAGTTGCAAAGTCCTCTAAATGGTTCTCCCATGCTTAAGGCAGGTGCACTTAAATTTTTTACAATGTTCCGGAGTCAGATACCAAAGCCTATTGCATTTCAATTGTTGCCTGAATTGGCTAGGTTCTTGGCTGTGGAGTCAAATGTGGTTCATTCTTATGCTGCAAGCTGTATAGAGAAACTGTTGCTTGTCAAGGATGAAGGTGGAAAAGCAAAATACACTTCGGCAGATGTAAGTCCCTTTCTCCACCTTCTGATGAACAACCTTTTTAATGCATTCAAGTTTCAAGATTCTGAGGAGAACCAGTATGTTATGAAGTGCATAATGCGCATTCTTGGTGTCGCAGAGATTCCTAATGACATTGCTGGACTTTGCATTGATGGGCTAACTTCCATTCTAAATGAAGTTTGCAAAAATCCAAAAAATCCAATTTTTAACCATTATCTTTTTGAGTCAGTGGCTGTTCTTATCAGGAGGGCTTGCGAGAGAGACATCTCTCTCATCTCTGCTTTTGAGGGAAAACTTTTTCCTAGCCTCCAAATTATCTTGGCCAATGACGTAACGGAGTTCTTGCCTTATGCCTTCCAGCTCTTGGCGCAGCTAGTTGAACTGAACAGGCCACCTATCTCTCCAAGTTACATGCAAATTTTTGTTCTCCTCCTGTCTCCTGATTCATGGAAGCGATCTTCTAATGTTCCTGCACTTGTGCGCCTGCTTCAGGCCTTCCTTCAAAAGGCTCCAAATGAGGTCAACCAAGAAGGGAGGCTGAACCAGGTTCTTGGTATATTCAACATGCTTGTTTCATCTCCCAGCACTGATGAACAAGGCTTCTATGTGCTTAATACTGTGATTGAGAATCTTGATTATGGTGTGATAGCTCCCTACATGCCCAACATCTGGAAAACTCTTTTTATGCGCCTTCAGAACAATCGTACTATAAAGTTTCAGAAGTCCCTTGTGATTTTTATGTCACTCTTTTTAGTCAAGCATGGTGCAACTAATCTTGTAGACACTATGAATTCTGTTCAGCCCAATATATTCTTTGCGATTTTGGAGCAATTCTGGATACCAAATCTTAAGCTGATCACTGGGGCTGTCGAGCTTAAGTTAACTGCAGTTGCTTCAACCAAGCTTATTTGTGAATCTCCAGTTCTTTTGGATGCTGCAGCTGCTAAACACTGGGGCAAAATGCTGGATAGCATTGTAACGCTTCTGTCACGCCCAGAGCAAGAAAGAGTGGAGGAAGAACAAGAAATGCCAGATATTGCAGAAAATGTAGGATATACTGCTGCATTCATTAAACTTTATAATGCTGGGAAGAAAGAGGAGGATCCACTGACTGACATAAAGGATCCAAAGCAATTCTTGGTGGCTTCACTGGTAAGGCTTTCTTCTCTTTCCCCTGGGAGGTACCCGCAGATCATCAATGAAAATCTCGAGCCAGCAAATCAAACGGCTTTACTTCAGCTTTTTGGCACCTACAATTGCTCGATGGTTTGAGTAAGTAGTTTCTTTGTTTTTCAATCAATTAATGTTGTTGATTGTTGTTGCTGTAGTTTGCAGTTTTGTAGCCAAAAGTTATTTAGCTGCAGAAAATGAGACAATGTAGTGTTTGAATTTTGAATGAATACTTAGTTCATTAAATTATAGGTTTGAAGAATAATTTTAATGGGAACTGTTAAGATACATGCTCTGATGTTTAGCAGAAAGGTGCATTCATAATGTAGTGTTTTTGTATTCTTTATGTAAGCTTCCAACTGATTAGTATTTTTTCCCCAAAATCTATAGCTATCATGGTGAGCCAATTGCTAGACTGCAGGATTTTGTTTTATATCTTTTCTACTTCTTCATTGAGCTTTATCTTGTTCTCTGCTGTATTTGTCCAGTTAGTCCAATGACCAAGGAAAATGAATCCTGCCCTATTATTTATGTTGAAATTCTATAACATGTGCTGCTGATGTTAGTATGTCTCTGAAACAAGAGAATACAAACCTTTGGTGTCAGCTTACTCTTAGTAGCAACTAGCAAGTTGATATAAATCATATTTTTGTATTTTCTTGTTTGCATGCAAAGATACTTGTTTATACGAACCTTATTTTCTGCAACTGGAAATTGCTTTATTTGCTCTTTTTTTAGCCTTTTTTATTTTTCAAGTGGGCTGTTGCTTATTCTTTTGTTTCTGTACTTTTGATTACCAGTTCTACTCAACCATGGCACTAAATGATCTATCTCCATAACGTACCAGGCTTTTGTGAGACAATAAGTTAGGTTCTGTGATGGTGGATGTCAGTTTCAATGGGTTGCATAACTTGCATTACTGGGCTGTGGCAGCATTCTTACGTCATTGCTGTTTACCTTGACACTTGCCCAACTTCAGGATCTCTTGCCAGCAATGTAAGATCTCGCAGGTCTTGCTCATTTCTCCCTTTCCATGCATTTGTTGGTGGACGGTAGTACCACTGTCGTCTCACCGGCTCGTGGATATGCCGTGCACCTGCTTCCCCCTGGTTTTGTCATTCAGCATGCATTAGTCTGCAAGTTGTAGATTTCAATTGCTTTATGATCTTGTCAAAAGAGTTGTGGCCAAAACCTTTGGCGTTTCTTTTTACCCTTTCTTTTTGTAGGCAAAGGGAAGGCGCAATCAGAGTTATGTTATTTCTGCATGTATGGTTTTGAAATGAAAATAGATTTTCAGGAAAATTTTGAGTCGTTCCAAAAAGAATTTGCTTAAAATTTCAGTTCCATGTTCGGAACCCAAATTGCCAACAGTATCTTTCTTTTGAAGTATCAATATAATTTTCTTTTAGGATATGTGTTTCAATAAATGCCGGAGTTTAAATGACACATTTGAAAGGCGAAACCTTTGTTAAGTCTTTAAATTTATCTCTAATTTTTAATTAAGTTTTTAAATTTTTATAAAAATAAATAAACTCTTAAATTTAACAATTTGAAAATTTTAATCATTTTTCAAATAGCTAATTTTATATTTATTTGTGTCTTACTTGTATCATGTGTGGACAAGGGTCAATAATTGTCACGTGGATGTTGAGAACTTACCCACCCAAGGGAAGCACCAATAAGCATTAAGTGTTATAAAATATAGTTAAATTATCTAGAATGTTAAGTTTAGGGGCTTAATGAATAATCTGGGATAAGTTTGAGGGCTTAACACAGGGTTTTTCCCATTTGAAATTCATACGGCCCATGGGCTGTTGGTTAACTTGGCCTCTCATTCTTTAGAATATATTGATCCATTAACACTTTGTTGGTTTATGTTTCAAATAATTAAATCTTAGGAGCGAAGATCCCCTCATCAGAAAGAAAGCACTTTGATTAAGCAACCAAATCACTCTTTTATCTTTAATTCCTCAAGAATACAATTCTCAAATAGCCCACTTAGCATTTGAAGTAGCATGGTGATTATTTATATTAATAGAGCATCGGCTCTAAATTGGCTGGATATCTCCATCACCCCCAACTTTCAATAGCTACTTGCTCTTTTTGTTTTTGGGTTTGCTTTATATACCTTGGACTGGATTCATTTCCCTAGTCCAGGCTAGGCGTTAAGCTATTCGACTAAAGAATTCATGTTATCTTCACATAACTTCTCCTCCATTTTTTTTAGTCATGGTCTTGTCAAAGCTAACATTCAAAGCTAGAAACACTTAAGAGAAATTTTCAAACGGATAACATGGTCAAATGCTTAGAGATGGACCAAGCAATTTTCCTTTAAACCAACTCTTTAGTATTTGTGTTGTGTTAATTGTTGCCAACTTTTTCTTTCTTAGAAAAAACTTGGCGTGTGAGAAAAATTTCAATATTCAAATCAAATTCATATCACAATTTGGCAATATATAACACCTTAGGCTGCATTTTTTTTAAACATAAAGTATATACACTAGCTATGTTTACATCCACCAAGTGCCATGTTGCTAACAGCCTTCCACTAAAAATTGGTTGTGTAATAATTTTCCGTAGGATTAATTTAATTCCATTTTCCATGGTTTTTTTTTAAAATTTTTTTCCTCCTGCTATTTTCCATGGTTTATTAAAGTTGGATCCACTCCCAAACATTGGTAGGTAGTCCTAACGCCTAAGCACTAAAAGAGATGTTGATCATGATGCTCGATTGGACCCACCATGATATGGCTGGGGCTTGATAACCCCAGAAAATCTGGTCCCTTGGTCCTACCTACGATCTAGTTGCCTAATTTTGGCACAAACTAAATTGTCCATTTTGCCCATAATACTATGACCTTATATCTTTTGTTTTTCTTAATTCCGATATCTATGGTATCCAAAAGTCATATTAATTTAATTAATTTAGAGTTGAGTCATGAGAATATCTTCAAATATTTGTTTTTTTATTTATAAAATTTGAATTTAAAATTTTATTTAAAAAAATTAAAATTTTTTTATTTAGACTACTAGGTCATTATTAGTTATCACTTTATATGCTTTGCGTAGAGATACCTCACCCAATCTTCTATCATTCTCATATGGGGTTCAAATTAAGAAAGTTTCTTAGTCTTTTGAGTTATTTCCATAAGTGTTCCATTATGCTTAGTGTTTTATGGGTAAAAGAACAGAGAATAATTGAAGAAAATCAAAAGAAATGGACCCATCTTCTCGAAATTTCATCAAAACGGAAGCTTCCACAGAGTTGCCCAATGGGGCTTGCTGCATTTTAAAAAGGAAAAAAGCAAAAAGGTTGGGGAAGATTGGAGATCTAATGCATCTTAAGATTCTTTTCAAATTAAGAGATGGATTTAACGGTCTAAAAAAGTGTTAAATTCATGTCAAAGCAAGTATTGAATGAAGAGGTTGGCCATGACTTAAACGATTATATTTTTCTCTTTGATGTGAAATTTAGATATGATCACAATAGTCTTCCTCATTAAAGATATCAATTCCAATGACATTCACAAGACATGTCTACAAGTCCACAATTAGGCAATGGTCAAGTCCACCGTAATTTCTGTTAAAATTATTAATTATTATTAAATTTTTATGTCAATTTAATTATTAAAAGTAATTAATAATTAATAAAACAATTCATATTAATGATTTAATATATTAAAAATAATTTATTAACAAACATTTTTATATATCATAATTTATTATTTCAAAAAATATAAATTAATAAAATTATACTAAAATTAATGATCTTAACAAAAAAAAATAATTGTGACAATAGTCTCAACCCTATAAATACATTAATTCATCTCAAATGATATGAGGAGGGACCGACCCTCAATCATGCATGTCACCATTGTGATGGTTAGCATGGCTTACACTTTTAAAAGATACTAATTAAAACAATTTGGGTTTTGAAGCTTGTACTTGCTTGCTTTTTGGGCTGAGATTCACGCCACCCTAGTTCACCAGTTATGCGTTTTTTCAGTATGTCCCAAAAGAGGACACACTGCCTTACGGAAGGTCAACACGCTCCTCTCACTCACAAAGTCTAAATATCTTTTAATAATTGTTTTAACTTTAACGTGACCCAATAAGAAAGGAGTTTGTTTTAAAATAAGGTTAAATGCCCTTTTGGTCCCTCTACTATTAAGAAATGCTTTTTTTGGTCCTTATACCAAAAAAATCCCTTTTTTAGTCCCTAAATTTTAAAATTCAACTTTTTTTTGGTCCTTCCGTTAGTTAAGTGATAGGGTGACACTATAATTTGCTAAATATTTTTTCCTTTTTCTTTT